AATCTACTAGTAGTTAATGGAACCTTCAGACAATTTCACAATTTCAATTGCATTCAATGCATCCAAAGAACAATCAATGCATGAGGAAAGAGCAGTCAAAGCTTGTGTAGATTTGAGCTCAAGGTTGGCAGACTTACAAAAAAACAAATGGAATCAGATGGCCAATAGTCACTCTTTGAATACTTGTCAGTTTAGGTTAGCTATTTATGTTCAACAATGTTTGTGTGGAAATGTGGGGACTAATGATAAAAGATTGTTCAAAATTTTAGAAAATCTAAATATTTTGCTAGTAAGGTTGCTCGATTCTCTTTCCATACAAGATTTGTTTCATTTATTAATCTTCAAAATGATAATAATACTGTGAAAAATAGAAAAGTGTTTGAAATAGGAGCAAAAATTAAAGTGTCTCTATGAATTAGCAAATAAATCAATTAGATTGTGGAATGGCTTTACAATTTTAAATGAAGAGAATACACCAAGAAGAACTCCCATCACAACAATAACAATAGATGATGCCAGAGCTGCAATGATAGCAATAATCATGGTTCCTAGATAGTTCCATTGAGGAACTGAAAATACAAATAACCTGTCAAGAAGCAGTGTCATTGGGAAAATAAGGAATCATCATACTTACCAATTTACATTAGCAGAATTACATAACCTGTACATTAAAAAATCTGTCCCCGAAAGATAAAAACTTGAATGAATCGCAGCTAAGTGAGTCCAACTTGCTTTGATACCTCGTATATATAAAGTTACCAACAGTTTCTACTTCTAAAACACCAAAATTTGTTGCCTTCTTACGCTCTTGATTTCCCTTATCATCCCACTTGGCTACAGGAACTTCAGGATAACTAGAGGCCACGATAAACTCAGTTTCAATTTCAATGACAAAGGCAAGTGAACCAGTTATTTAACTTGTGATTTCCTTCAGATAGCTACTAATTGTAGCCACAGAAATATCAAAACCAAAATACCAATCAAAGTTGAATCCTGTGGCCGTTTGATTTCTAGATGGTCTTGAATTGACCAAACTCATAAAGGTAATGGAAGGAAGTGTTGGGTCAGTGTAGGAGAGCGTAAAAGTTGGTTTGTTCACTTGGTCCGATGCCACTCCTAGAATGTAACTCATATCAAATGGTGGTAACTGTACATCTGGTTCCCTAGATTGTGTATGACAATATTCATACAATGTCATATTATCACAATAGGTCCAAAACTGACCTGTTGAATTCACAAACAATATGCTTGGAATTCTCACCATTCATCATCTTTCCCTTATTTCCTTCGTATGGATCTCCAACATACGAATCTATCATTAAAGTGGAGAGGAATTGGTATTAAGATTTGAAAATCTTGTAGGTGATCGGGTTAATCCAATCAGTGTTCGCATAATCCAAGTCCCACTAAAAGTTTACATCCTTTTAAATCATACTTGGGTTTTCGGGAGATTTTACCAACATTCAATATAAAATAAAAAATAAATACAGACACTTAGATTTGAGAATCCAAATTATATATTTTATCTTGAGATAATCTCTTATTTGTTATTCCAAGAGATGATCCTCGCCAAAAACTACACATTAATATTGCGAGTCCCAAAGCATGACATTTGACAGTTGCTGAGGGATGTGTTTGACTTGTATACGTGAACATCATTCTATATTACCTTATAATATTAAGCGTTGGTTCATGTATTGCTCTCTTTATCACTAAATAAAAAGTTGAATGATGTATAGACAACTTTCGTGTAAAAACTTGTTCTCCAGACATGCTCATCTCCTAAATGAAAAGATAAAAATCTTTGAACAAAGTGCGCCAGGTTTCGAGATGAAAAAGTTGTCAATATTTCATTATTCTGTTATCTCTAATGATGGCAGGTTTTGGGATAACAATTTCAAGGATTAGGAAATTGAGTGTGTTTGCATAGAATCACAATACATCAACAAGCAAAGTTCTTTTAGTTGCAGCAAACATTTTAATTCAATTTTCTTACAATTAAGGGCCAACCAACTTGTATCACTGTATACTTATGAATGCTTTTTGATTTGTCAGCATCATTTTCATATTGAGCATATTGTTTGACTTGAGAAATTGCAGAATTCAAAATTGATCTGGCTACAACTTTCTCTTTGGCATGAGTAAGTACTTCCATTTCTAATAATTCTTCATCAGTTTGTTTAGATAAATCTTTAAATATATTTTTAAAAATTTGCGGATTCCAATATTCAATATTGGAATATTTTGTTAAAGAATTTGGTCTAATATGTTTGAATTCAATTATTAATACTTTTTTAGAAGTTCTTATCACAAGATCAGCACGTTTGATGTATTCCTTATTGTTAGAATTCTTTACATGATATTCCTTTTCAGCTTGAATTTTCAATTCTTTGTTTCTAAATAAACAATATGCTCTTAATGCAGATTCAATACTTGCTTGTAAACCTCCTTCAGACATTGAATTGTCATAAATAGTTTCTTGTTTTTCTAAAATATTATTGAGTAACATTCTCAAATTATCTTGGGTAGGTTCATTAATAAAAGTTGATACATCTTTTTCATGTAGAGATATAAGTCTACGTAACTGCTCTAAATATTGGACTTTTGCAATTTCATTTGGAATTAACAATTGTTTTGGGTTCATCTGTTTTGATGATTCTTTTGTGAAGGTAACCATACCGTGATAATACATGAATGATAAAGCATTATCACGAATCTTTTGTATATCTTCTTCATTGGATGGTGGATCAATAATCTCTCTTAATTTCAGTGAAGGATAAATTGACTCTGTTACTTCTACATAATCTTTTGAAAGTAATTGTTGAATAATATCATTCGATACAACTGATGATGCCAAAGTTGCAAAAACGTTCTCACTGATCATTGTGTTGGTATCTGTTAATATTGATAATGGAATTTCTTGTTTTTGTAGAACAGCATTTCTGAAAGGTTCATCTTTTACAAGTTTGTTCAAAAAGAACATTGAAAGAGTTGTGTTGAATAGAGCATGTTTTGAACCAGGAAAATGATAACCTTTATAATACTTTTTCATGGTTGAAATGGTAATATCTTGATCATTTCCAATAATATCAATGTTATTTAATGCCATTCTCAAATCATTTTCTGTAAAACCAACCAAACCACCAAATATCTTATCAGAGGAAATATTACTGGAAACATTATATCCAGATGCATCAGCAAGAGCAATAGGAGTGATACCAGTGATGATACTACGAAAATCTTGTAAACCAGTAGCGGAAGACTCTTTCAATCTTTCAAAGAAAGAACGAATTGGTGAAGATGTTGGATCTCCTCTCTTTCCTTCAACTATTAATTGATATTTTTCAGGATTTTCAAACATTAATTTGTTTGCAAATCTATCATATTCATCAATTAATACCATTAATTTGCCTTTTCTCTTGACTAAAAGTTGGATAAGTTTTTGATAAGTATCAAATGAATCATTTTGATTAATGCTAACCTCACCACCCATACCATAACATTCCAAAAATCCTTCAATGGTTGTATTGATTTTTGTGTGAAGTCGTTGATTAATATCATCAGCAGTACCATCAACTTGAATAGAAAAATCTAACTTTAAAACATAATATTGATTCTTTCCAGGTGTCCAATTATTTTCATCACCAATCCATAAACCAGAAAATAATTCATCAAATTCATCTTTCTTGTTAATATCATAATATGATGAAAGCATTGATAATAATAGTGATTTTCCCCATCTCGGAGGACGAACAAAAAATAATTGTTTTCCACTTTCTTCTAATAGAGGAATTAAATTAGTTTTATCAACATAAAATTGTTTACTTCTTCTGATGGAAGCAAAATCTGATTCACCATATGGAAAATATGGCACCAACAAATTTCCGTCACCAATATTTTTAAATTTAATATTTTCAACATTATTTGTTGTTGGTTTTAATGTATTTGAATAGTTTTTAGTTTGATTCACTCTATTAATTGTAAACTTGTTAATATCATTAGTTAAATTATTAATTTTTAATATTGATCTGTTGATTTTGGGTGATGCAGTAAATAACTGCAATCTATTGATTTTACGAAGGAAGGTATGTTTCATATTTTTGATGATTTTTTTTTTAAGCTATTTGATGGCACCGTTGTGATGATTGTGATGGTGTGGAAGAGGAAATCCTACAAAGTTACATTGTTGGTGTTTATTTTAGCTTCATTGCTTATTGGTTGCGTTGCATGTGCTACCCGTTATGAATATTGGGTCATGTTCAACAAGTACATGTTGTTGCGCTACTCTGAAGGTAAAAGTTCTTGACAATAATCTAGATTATGTTAATTATCCATGTGGTTGGTATACATGCCTGGGCGAAACCAGGAAATATTGGATTCAAAGGGTTATTATTTGTCTTTGAGTGGTTGGACTTCTAATGGGTTCTGTGATTCTTCTTCTGTTTATGCCACCTGTGTGAGTGGTTCTTGTTTGGTGATTCTGAAATTGTCTCATTGCCGGTTTTGAGATGAGTAATGTTTGGTAACGTAATTGTGTTTGGACTTCAAGAAGATAAACAACCAGGCATCAAAGTAAACTTATCTCTGTAAATTTAAGGTAACAAATGATCATTAGACCATGTGAACTTGGGAATTAAATCAAAAATGTAGTTTTAAAAGTATTTGAAAGTTGGTTTGTTGTTTTTTTATTGTACTGTTGTGTTCCCTTTTTCCTCAAGGGTATTGTGATGAAGCTGGTATACCCTTTAGAAAATGCAAACTTAAATAAGCTACCAATCTCTTCAAATATAGAGCTTCTAATATTGATGAAAGCTGGAACAAAATTGTTTCCTGTTGTGGACTTCAAACCTTGGTAACATGAAAAGAACAATATATAATGTTCAGCTCTTCTTTTCCTGTGCCAATAGTTTCTAGATTTAAAACAAATTTACCATCTATTTCTAATATTAATGAATATCTATCTTCTGATATGGCATTGGAAGGTTTCTTCCTGGGAGAATTTTTGCAGGTTGCATTGGAATCCATTGCAGATGCTACTTCAATGGTTAATGGAAACAAACTTATTAACTATATTTATACAAGCCAACAATTGGTGATAAGAGAACAAAAATATGGGTTCTTCAATAGAGATGACAAGAGAAATCCATTATGTAATATGGGACTGAGAGATAGGTTTTTGTTTGAGATTAAGAACTTTAACACAAATATGGTATCAACAACAACTTTTCCAAAGCAACAATGCTGTTTGCAAGACTTGTTGGAAAATCCAAAATCTGTTACCTTTACAAGACTTAAACAAATTGTGAGATTAAAGAGATCAACATGACTGAAATGTTAACAATAGAACTAGTAGATGATTTCTCGAGAGGGATTATTACAAATATTAACCATGTTAACAATTTACACAAATATTCCTATCAGTTTCAATTCCTGACCCAATTCTACAATATACTGATATTATTCACTCATAAATGAATTGATCACAAGACAACAAATTTTTAAAATATTTTGAAAACCTTATTTTCACAACAAAATTCATCTTTTCCAATTTTACAAAATTATTGAAATGGTTTGTTGTGACATGTATGGATGTCTACTTTTGTGATTGCTTTTTATGGAATTTTCGATAGATGTTGACATATTGAGCTTGTTCATTACTTCTTGTCAGCCACAAACAATGAGGTATTGCCATTCTGGAGAATGATCTCAAACGGTACCAGTCAATTTTGAGTGATCACTTTTTGAAACAATCAATAACTGTAGTTGTCCAACATATTGTTTAATAGTATTATTGTAATGTTTCGTTTAGTTCAGTTTAATTCAAAGGAACTTGATACCTCGTTCCAACATCTCCCTTTTTACATTACGCAAGCCTTACAGAAGTACTCGCACGAACTCTTTTCAACGTATTAAACTGTAGACGAAACACATTTAAACTTTACAATAGTCAACTTGAAAATGTGTTCAACACTTTACCCAACACAAATTCCAAATTGCATGCAATTAAAAATGTATCATTAATTAAATAGTATCAAAATCTTAAAAAAAAATGTCAAGACAAGAAGTTAACCAAACCACAACTCAATTCTATGAAATCCACAAAAATTACGATTTGATTCAGGAGGAGAGAATTAATCAGGTGAATTTTCTCATTCCCAATCAAGAGATTCAAATTTCATCAACTATTCATTCTATAAAACTCTATGATGATGCGAAGAAGGAAGTAGTAATTAATGATGATCGGAATGAAAATATAAATGATCAGGAAATTAAACAATTGGCAGAGAAGGGAAATGATGTGATGAAAGGACAAGAGGCTTATAAGAATGTTGATCATTTGTTTGTTTTGAATGAATTGCTTCATCCTGATGAGTGTTGTCAAATTCTCTCTATTGAAAAGAAGCAAAAAAAGCAATTGGATGAAGTAAAGAGTCTTTCTAAAGATTTCGAATCAATTCAAGCAGAGTATCCTCCCGAATACAGAAATAGTAGCCGAATTATTTATAATGATAAGGAATTAGCTCAAAGATTGTGGAGAAGAATGAAGAAGCACTTGGTGAGATATACATTTGTTAGACCTTATGGATTGGATAATGGTGGACATTGGATTCCAGTTGGAGTGAATGAATGTTTTAGAATGAGCAAGTATGAACCTGGAAATTATTTCAAACCTCATGTTGATGGTCAATTTGTGAGAAATACGGATGAGAGAAGTGTTTATACTTTATTGATTTATTTGAATGAGGATTTTACTGGGGGAGAAACAAGATTTTTGACAGTTGTTAATAATGTGGAAGAAGGACAAGGTTTGGATTCAAGCAAAAAAGTGAAGAAATTGTCAAGATCTGATAAGAAAATGGCAAAGAAAAAGTTTGCCAAAGAGGCAACAAAACTGAATCGTTTCAATGACAATCCAGAAAAGAGTTTAAAAGAAAATTCAACTTTACAATTCAAACATTTGTGCTCAGTTTCACCAAAAATAGGATCTGCAGCAATTTTCAATCATGATTTGTATCACGAAGGATGTCCAGTCACGAATGGTATCAAATACATTCTTAGAACTGAAATCATGTTTAAAAGAGTTGATTCGAATAGTGTTGTGAAAAATAAGAATGACACTAAGCTCTATAACCAAGTAATGGCCATTCTCAAACAGAGTGATGATTTGGAAAAGAAGGGTAAAATTTACGAATCCACAGAATATTACAGAAAAGTTCAGGATTTATTAATAATGAATGGTCACTCCATGTCCTTATTGATGGTTCCAAAATTTCAAAGAAAATCAAATTTTTCAGATAATCAAACCGAATCTTACGACAATGAGTTGAGTATTCTTCCTGATGAAACCCTCAACCACATATTCTCATATCTACAAGATTCTGAAATTTGTACATTAATTTTACCTCTCGATAGATATTTTCATTATTTTGGAAGAAATAATCATTTGTGGGAATCATTGTATATGCACAGATGGGGAAATAACATCACTGAACTATTGAAACGATTGTACAGAAAGAAAAACTTAGAGCTTGGTCAACTAAATAGCGTCGATAACACAACATCAATTGATGAAACTCCCACGCTTGAAAATGATCAAAATTGGTACCATATTTATATAATGAAGAGATATTTCGAGAAGGAATTTGAACCAGTATTTTTGGATGTTGGATATGATCGTTCTAATTTGTCGAGCATTAGTGGAGAGTTCAAAAATGTGAGATCTCTAATGTACAGAACCAAATTCTCTCAGTATGTACATTTTTATATTCGACATCATTAACCTTATGTTTAGTTATAGCGTTTCTAGTTATTCCAACTATCGGCTGACAGAATCTGCTGGATATGCGAGAACCAGGCCCATCACTGAAACTGAAATAGCCGCCAATTTTCACATATTCATTGTTCTTTTGTTATCCCAATTGAAGAAAACACCTCAGAGACATCCGATAGTTCTCAGTTTATCACCAATATTGATGAAAAATTACAAAATCAATGAAGAGAAGATTAAGGATACGCTTGTAAGTTTACTATTATGGATTCAATCCTTTTCTATTAATCGACAATAATCCAGTTTAAAAACAATGTTCCAGCTATATGCATACTCCCTAGATGTTACTTATTATCGATACATTATGATGTGAGAACTTGTCTTGTGATAGATATTAATCAAGTTTGTTTGAGCGTCCATACAATAATTGAAAATGATATTGACACTATTGAATCACTGTATTTTGAATTTCCAAGGGTGATGGCAGGGTTTGAAATTGTACCATTAATTTTTTCAGATGTTCATACAGAGGACTCCTTCGATAAATGTAAACTAGTTTCCATGATTGACCAAATACTTGGCCAATATCCAAACGAAATTAGATTCAAGCTCTCTGAAAACATCATTCTCTCTGGGGAAGTTATTGAAGATCAAAAGCAATTCATGGATTTCCAAAAAGAAGTCAAAACAAGATTCAACTCTAATTACTCTCGATACAAGATCAAGTTCACTACAGAAGGATCAGAAGCAATTAAGGGAGCAATATCCTTCTCAAAACTTCCAAACTTTAAAGATTACTTTTCATATTGGTTTAATTGTGTGGATACTCTAAATAGGAATGGTATTTAAGGTTTATTCAGTATCCTCGAGTAAGAATTCAGCAATTTGTTCCTTCATTTCCTTACGTGTTAATTGATAAGAATTTTGAATATATGATGGGAATGAATCATCAATAAAAACTTCACTGGTCAAGTCTGTAATGGCAACCTTTCCTATTGATTGAGTATTTTGAGAATTCGAATAAGTTAACATTCTCTTGCAACCAAAACAACAACATGTTGAAAGCGACAAGTCTTCGGAGGTTGATTTAGCATCCTTCAAGTCTTCCTTTGAAAGGAAAGATCCACACATTGAGCATCTAATCTTATTTTGATCTGGAACCTTCAGTTTTTCAATAGTTCTCAAAATTGCATGAACAGTCGATGGGAAATCCTTTTGTAACATTGAAATGAAATCTTCAACAAGTCTATTGATTGTACTTTGTCTTGCTCCTGCTTTGGTTGTGAGATTCTTAACAAAGACATACTTCTTAATACCAGTCCAGTGATTGTACATGGCCAATTCGTTAGATAAAAAGCTACGAACAGGTCTGATATATGTTATCACTGGATCAGTTTCTGGGTTAAATGATGGTACATTATTCATAGTCTTGTCTTCGAGAACAATTTGTAAAGGAACAATATATCCTCTTCCCTTTGAAATTTCACTCAAAACATTAATAGCCATATGATTAGCACTTTCACCTGTCAATACTTGCTTAAAGTTCTTTTCAACTGCAAATTTGTAAATGCATGTCTTGACCATTTGACTAATCAAATCTTCATGAACACTCATAGTATTGAATTGTCTGAAAATGAAATCCTTCATTCTTTGTTCATCACCATCAAATAACATATCTTCAATTGATCTAATATGAATAATATTATTACTTTCATCTAAATTTGTACAAAAATCTCTAACTTGTTGACGAACAGACTCTCTTTCTTCAGAATTTAATCCTAAAGCTCCAGTAACATCAACAAATAAATATTCCCATTTGAAATGCAATTTCCAATTAGGATTTGGTGAAACGCAATTATGTAATAAATTAGCAAGTGATGTTGAATTCATTCCACCACTAAAACAAACTAAAACTGTATCTCCCTTTGCAATTTTTTCATTTAAATTAATTTTAAATTGTTTGTGATTACTTTGAATAAATGTTTGTTTGTCAACAGGAACTCCTCTTCTTCCTTTGATTGCTGGTTGTCCCTTTACAGCTTGTTGTTTAGCAGCTTCTCTTTCTTCCTTGGAAGGTTTCTTTGGTGGTTGATTCTTTTTAGGTTTTGTTGTTGTAGTTGAATTATCACAATGATTATTACCGGAGCAACATTCGGTTGTTGTAGCTGGATGATTGGAAGATTGTACTTCCTCCGAGTTACCTCCACTATTTTGATGATGGCAATCACAAGAGTCAGAACATGAAATGTTGTTATTATTATCGGAAGACATTTTTTTCTATCGATTCAATAAAACAAGTGCAAGTTGAGAAATGATGACAACGGTAATAGTGATGAATAAACATATCAATTGCTAAATGAGTTGAATTTTCAAGAATATACTATGGATAATAATCATGATCACAACATGTTGAGCTTATTTGAAAGTTTCCAAGAAGACACAAGATGATTATATGAGGGTTAAAGGCAAAATTGAGTTCTTATTATCGTAAATTTATGGAAAGGGATTTGTTTTACAAATTGAAAAGATAAAAGGGAATGGAGAAGGATGGAAAATACTATTTGCTACTATTAATTAAATTACTCGTATTAAATAATATGGAGTAAACAATAGAGGGTCTAAACACATATTGTTGTTATCTAAATAGAATGTTGTTTGAAATAAATAAATTTCTTATTCTAACAAAATATTAAACAACATTAATTGAACAAAATCTAATCAATTCTAATGCAATGAAGGACATTCTTCTTTCCTTGTAATTGATCTTCAAAGGTCTTAAAATCAAAGGTAAATTGGTCAGCATGTGAAGTCAAGATTGAAAGATCACCCTGCTTTGTGTTACCAGTGATAGAACCATGGTTGAGAGACTCTTTAAATTGTTGTCCAATACGTACAATAGCCTCGTCATTAGACTTATCACCAACCCAAATGTTCAATCTAAATTGTGATTTACGAACAGCAACACAACCTCCAGTGATAATTTCACCATCATCAAAGAATTCACCAATGAGAGCCATAGCTAAATTCATCCACCAATCGTTAACATTGCACTTCTTTCTCAAGAATGGGAACATCCACTCTCCTCCGTGGATATTCTTTGGGTCTTCCCATTCAGGCCTGATACCATCTTTCAAGATGTAGTAAGCGCTACCAGTTTCAAGATGAGTAGGAGGTTTAATATGGTTGAAAACACTCCAGAAATCTTCAACATATTCGAAGGTGTATACTTGAATAAATTGTGGTGGATTATGATACCATAAAGTCCATGATTGTTGCAATGGATGTTTTTGAGCAAATTCAGGGTCTACATTTTCTTCGTAATGTTCTTCAGCAATGTCTTCTGCAGGATGTTGTTGATTGTCAATTTCTTCACTGAGTAGGGATCCACTGCTTGTTCTTTGCATTTTTTTTTTGTTTGAAGTTTTTTGTATTAATTTTTCTTCTCCCTTCGCAACATTTCAAAAATGGCAAGACTGAGGCTTGTCTGCAACTCATCAACACAATAATTATATTCATTTGAATCATAATAATTATAAGATGACATCATTAAATGATGACAATTATCTTTTGCAAACAACATTACGTTTCAGTTTGTTACTTTCACACTGTTGCATTTCAAAACCACCTCGTTAACATTACGACCATATTGTTGTCTTCAAGAGATATGTGAATCTTTAGTCTTTCCTGTCTCTACAGTTAAATAATAATATATTTAATTGGTCCATATGAATAGCAAATTGGAAAAACAAGGCTCCACTGCCTACCATTCTTATTCATTGTGCCGTATGGAGAGATTCTCATTCTAGAAAAAATTGTGTGTAATTGAATAAGGTCATCGTTGGCAAAAGATTCACATTCTGTAGAACGCAACACAGTGAGCGAATAAATCCACGCACTTGCCGCTTTTTGTAAGCACGTCCAAAAGAATGAATATTTCCATATTTTATTCCTAATTGCCGGTTGTCTCTGTTGTTTACAATGAAGATGCAACCATACAATGAAATATACGGTATATTAATATTTCTGTTAAGGAATTTACTGATTTTAAGAATGATAATTATCGTTTTTTGAAATTGCATAAATATTGAAAAAATTAAGAAAAAAAAATGTCGCAATTGCTGCAACACATTATTCTCAATGATGAATATATTCTCTCTCATATTTTATCTTATTTGAAAGTCGGAAATGTAATTTTGCTAGGAAGAGTATCGGGTACATGGAAGGAAATTATTCAAAAATTGTACTTTTTTCAATTTGAAGAGTTTTATTTGGATCAATATTTTGCAGAGTATTTTTCATTACGGGGGAGAGAAGGATCGATCAATCGTAGTGAAGGCATTGATGTTTGGAAAGGAAGGATGATCAATGTATTATCCAAATATCTTACGAATATACAAATTAGTTGTGGTACTTTTCAAAGTGTTACAGTGATGAATTTATTTGAAGACTTTATGTTGGATTTAAAATTGATAAAGAGCGTTTGTGCATTGTTTCCTTCGATAGAGGTATTTAGGATTTCATTTCCAGAGGAGAATGATCCAGCCAATTTTGTTGAAATTATTGAAATTATGATATCCCTGTTGGGAAATTTAAAGGAAATTCAAATAATATCTTGTGCTAGCCGTTCAAGCGGGGTTGATAACAAGTTAAATCAAAAAAGTATAATTCAATTGGAATTATTGAGCTATTTTGATGAATTATCTAAGATGCATACCTCAATTTCGATTAAATTATTGGATTCTTTGACATTTTATACATCTAACTTGGGAAGACTTAGATTAAAGCTCGTTGAAATTCAATCATTCAAGAAAAATACAGAATTACAATTTAACACGAGAGAGAACTATTTTCAACTAAGCAGCAATGATTATTACAATTTAGAAGAAATATTTTCAACTGATGAGGAATTACTTCAATTACTTACCGAAAATGAATGGATTCTGAAATTCCAATGTATGGAGTTCAATATTTTAACAATAGCAATCCATTTGAACTTTATTGAAAGTATGAAATATATTATAAGAAAACAACCAGATACTCTATACAGAGGCATGATAATTAACTACAACACAACATTAGCAACATCTTTTAAGTGTTTAAAAGAAGAAAATATTATATACCTCTTAGAAAACATGGTGAAATTATATGAAAAGAGTGAGTGCTTTATTCGTGATGAGATACCAATGCTTTTCAATCACAATATGAGGAATGTACTCAGTCCACTCGAGAGCATTAGTGCAAAAGGAGATATGACTAACCACTATTTGGAGCTCACAATGAAAATATTTGGAAAAAACCTATTCCAAGATAAGATTCTAAAATATCAAACTGGTCTCAGTACTCATCACTACATTCTGAGATATTTAAGCAGTCATCCATTATTATTGAATCAAATTACTTATTGGGATTTGGACGATGAAAATGTTCGATTATTACTTGGTCATATTGTTCGGCTTGATGAAGTCCTTTTTCAACGAGTGGTTAGGGAATGGAAAGGATTCAATGAAAAATTAGTGAATAACTATAAGCTTGTCGATAATTGCAAGCAAAATATTCTTCATAATTTATTTTCCCATCACGATGTTCTTAATACCTCCGTTCAATATCATCATTTGAAGAAATTGTGTCCAAATATTTCAGAACTATTGTTGCAGCCAGATATTCTCAATTTTTATCCACTACAGAACCTGTTTACAAACCATTTCTGCATTGAATCCCGCTATGATCTTGTGGAAGAGCTTGTGACAGATATGAGGTCATTGGATGAGAATGAAACTAGAAAAATATTGAAGCATGCTTGTTTTGAACACAAACATTTCACAGTACTTTATGCATTGGTGAAATTTATGGGAGGAATTGATTTTTTGGAGGTGGAAGACTTGAATTTTGCCATGTCATGGCACGGAGCTAATAGTTTGAAGGCTGAGGGCATTAATCGCCAATACTTTAACCTACTCCAGAAGGGCTATGTGAACCCAAAAAGAGTTAATTCTCACAAACAAACTCTTCTTCATCAAGTAGCACTTGCTGGAATCAAACACTCAGGTCTTTTTATATTATTGGCAGCATTTGGATGTGGAGTTGATGATTTAGATGAATACGGGAACACTGTTTCACATTACTCTATTCCAAAGAACCAATGCTTACTGAAGAAAATGGGAGCAGATCCAAACATTTACAGCTTTTCAAAAAGAGCGTATTCATTCACGCAAAGGACGGGAAGAAATCTTTCTCCATACACGAAAAGGAGAATAGATAGAGTTTTAATTTGTCCAAGATGTCTCAAATATTTCACATATTTCAGATCTGTTAGACATCATAATTTACATTGTAGAGATTAGAAATAATTTATTCTGATTTTTGATAGACAAAATTTAAATATTGACGATAATTGGTTGGTGTTAAGGTACTGAATGAATTAAATAGTTCAGATCTGAAATCTCCGAGTGGAGGCAATTCACCATCTTTCAAATTCATTCTTGACATTGCTAACTCTCCACTCAAAGCTACATAGGAACAGCCAGCTGATGCTGCAATAAGTGGATTGGAACATACTGATGCAAATGCTGCTTGGATGGCTCCTGTCATACATCCAACACCTGTTAAATGTTGCAAGTTAGGCTCATTGTGGTAAACGTGAATAATATCAGAACCGTCAGAGATTACATCAACTGGTCCTGTCATACAAACAACACAGCCAAACTTTTGAGCTAATTCCGAGACAACCTTATCCATCTCTGGGAGATTTGATGAATTGGATTCAGAATCAACACCCTTCAACTTGGCAAATCCAGCATTTCCATGAATTCTTCCAATCTCACCATAATTTCCTTTCAATATGGTGATTTTATGATTCAATAAAAGTTCCAAAACAGTTGCTTCTCTTGCCTTTGTAGCTCCATATCCAACAGGATCGAGAATGACTGGTTTACCCAATTCATTTGCACGTTTAGCAGCCAAATGCATAGCCTTAATTGAATATTCATCCAAAGTTCCAATGTTAATAAGAACACCACTTGCTATTCCAACCATATCACTAATTTCCTCATGATATTGAGACATTACAGGTGAAGCACCAATTGCTAATAAAGAATTGGCTGTTTGAGTTGTAACAACATTATTGGTGAGATTGTGAATGAGTGGTCTTGTCTTTTTGATATCCAAAAGGGCTTGTACCATTTCTTCTCTAACTCTTGCCTTATCATTTGATTGATTCATTTGATAATAATTAATAGTACTTCTCAATTCTCTGGATGCTTGAAGAGCACTTTCAGCTCCAACTACACTTGAAACAACAGCCACACCGTCCACACCACATTCCATTACTTGAGAAATATTTTCCTTTCCAATACCTCCTATAGCAACAAGTCCAACATGTTTTCCATTTCTTGTGGTATGTCTGACATATGAAACTAATTCTTTGAGACCATCCAAACCAACTGCTTGACCAGCATCTTTCTTTGTAAGGGTTGGGAATATTGCATTTGTACCCAAATAATCAGCTCTAACATTGTGTGAAAGAGCTTCATCAACTTGGTCAAAAGTGCCAACTGTCAGACCCAAAATCTTTGAATTACCAATCAGTTTTCTAACATATTGAGGAGGTAAATCCTTTTGTCCAACATGAACACCATCAGCATCAATAGCAACAGCCAAATCAACACGATCATCAATCAAGAATGGAACTCCATGTCTTCTACAAATTTTTTGCAAACTTTTAGCTTGTTCCAACATTTGTCTTGTTGTTAATTGTTGTGGATATCTCTTTTCACGATATTGGATAATTGATGATCCTCCCTCAATGGATTGCTCAACAGTTTCTTCCAAAGAACGTTTTCCCATCTTTTCTGAAATGTCGGAATCTGTAACAACATACAATCCGTAATCAATTTTGGTACTATATGAACATTTTTGAAGAGAATTAAATAGTGATGATGATGGCAGCAGGAATTGTCTTGTAGATTTTTGATGGTTTTCTTGTTTTAAAATGTTTTGTGTAAGCTTGAGAGTTCTTTTTGAAGTTTTCATTTTTTTTAATTGAAGTTTTTTAATTGATTAGATAATTGATTTGAGAATCCATTGAATAGAGAGGCCAGTTGGAGCCTTAGTTTATTGTAATAAAATTGATTGAGTAATTTTATCATGTTGTGGTTCAATTTAGTAACGTCTTTTAACATGAGCCCAAAAACAAAGCATTAATTTTTCAATCATTTTAGATTTTGAAATTAAAGCATTTCGAAGAATGGTATCTTCTTACAGAATCAAAAATTATCACACAAATGAGAAACTTGAATGATGATTGAGATTTTCTCTTTAGTGATATCTATCAGATTCTTGTGATTGTTGAGTAAGCAATCTTTCATCTTGGGTAGTGAAAGAGGCAGCAGGAGGGTTCATAGATGGATTGTATCCACTTGGGAATAATGGATAAATTTGTTGACCAACATTAGCTGCTCCAGCCTAAAATAAGGTGTTAGATTTACAAAATTCAATATCAAAATTACTTACATAGGATGTAACAGGAATGAGAGGATTCATAGCAGAAGCCATTTGCATAGAGGCCATTGAAGAAGCAGGGTCAAGCAATGGAATAGAGGAAGTCAAACCATAACCAATGCCATATCTGTGGTTGGTGAACTTCTTTGGTTTTTGCAACTTGACATTACTAATCTTCAAGTGAGACAAAGCACCTTCAACAATAAAGTTCTTTTGCATGTAATTATCATTCTTAAAGTGGTGCAATAATAAATTCCACAATGGTTGCTTAGATAATACCTTAGCATTACCAATAATAATAAGTCCACATCTAGCACGAGTGAGAGCAACATTCAAACGTCTTGGATCATTCAAGAAACCAATACCTTGGTGATCGTTAGATCTGACACAAGACAAGATAATGAAATCCTTTTCTCTACCTTGGAAAGAGTCAACACTGGCAACTTCAATTTCCTTGTAAAGATCAGCATCAGCAGTACCAGCTCTTTGCATATGACTAACACAGAAAGCTCTTTGACCTTCATAAGGAGTGACAACACCGAGTTGTTGAGGTCTAACACCAGCCTTTAGCATCTTAGTAACAATCTTTTCTACAATTTCAGCTTCAGTTCTATTCAAGAATGAAGTACCACTAGCACTGTATTCTTCTTGACTAACAGAATTGTAGAAGAACATTGGAGCATCTGGATGAGGCCATGGGAAGTCAAGGTGAATTAATCTGTCTTCCTTCTTTACACCATTTTGAAGAGTACCTTCATAGAAAGTATTAGATGGGAATTCTGACAAACATGGATGCATTCTGTATTGAACTTGGAGACGCATTGGTCTAATACCCAACATGACAAGACGTTCAAATAATGATCTTGACAAGCCAGCACGAGCTGCCTTTTTACACATAATAACTGGACCCAATTGACAGTGGTCACCAACGAGAACAACTTGTTTGGCACCCTTAACGATAGGAATTAAACATTCTGGTTCAGTAGCTTGTGTAGATTCGTCAATGAGGACATATTTAAATTTGAATTCTCTCAATCTGACATCACCTGCACCAACACAAGTGCAACAAATTACATCAGCTGCCTTCAAAATATCTCTTTCAGTGGATCTCTTCAATATCTTTAAACGTTTCTCTTCAGCAACAGATAATTCTCCATCATCTTCCTTCTTTTGTTGGAGTCTTTGATATTCTTCCTTTTCCTTAGTCTTATAGAGACGTAATTGATAGTGCAATGTAAGGAAATCAACAGGAGAATTAACAGCTTCTCTGCTTCTGGCACACAATCTTACAACCTTCAAACCTGTAGCATGGATCTTTTCAGCTAATTGATCTACAGCAACATTAGAAGGTGCACAAACAAGAACTCTATGTTTGTGCTTGTCAACTAGGTGATAGACAATAGAAGCACTGGTAACTGTTTTACCTGTACCAGGTGGACCTTGAATGAGGGAAAGTGGTCTTTGCAAGGCATTCTTAACAGCTTGAATTTGGAAATGATTGAGTTCTGGAAGTCCAGGAGCAGAATATTTCTTTGGTAAATTAACCTTGAGAACAACTTCCTTTGTAGATTGATTTGGATGTCCAAGCATTTTGTGATAAAGATAGCTGCTAATACAATTTTCATCAATAGCAAAAGTTCTCATTGCATTTTGCATTCTTTCAAAAGATGTTGGTTTCCAAACAAAATCAACACTAAAACCAGTGTTAAAATTAATTGGAGCAGTCTTCTTTTTCAATTCCAAAACAACTTCTTCTTCTTGATTGAATTTGATAACATGACCAATGCCTTCCCAATTAGAACCATCTCTTATGTAACGAAGTCTGAGTTCATCACCAGGAACAAGACGTAATTCATTATCATCACGAGTGAAATAAAAGTAAGCCAATAATCTGTGACTACTTGTAGTTTCCCAGTGGACTGCAATATTATCCTTAGTTTGGGATTCTTTCATTCTCTTGTCATATTGGGCCTCCAATTGAATGAGAGGGCTAAAAACAGATTGATAATGGTATGCATCTTCGTAGAAGAATTGAACAGGAAGAGGATCATCATCAATACCTGGTTTTTCCAAATCATCAATTGAAGCATCAGTATTGCTTTTCCACAATTCTTCCAATTTGTTAATTTGTTGGGTGGTAACCTTTCTTCCTCTGTTCTTTTCTTCATCAGGTTCTTTGACAAGCCAAGGTAATAATTGACGATCTTGAATTAATGGTAACCATGAATCAACATCCCAATCCATTCCTTTCAAGCTATTATCATGCAAGCAAGGTTCTCTGCACAAAAGAACAACTACAGAATCATTCTTTGCAGGAATAAAACCCAACAAGAAGACATTTCTACATCCACAATTATAACATTCAAGAACAGTATCTCCCAAGTTAGATTCAGGATGTAAGCTAACTTCCTTGTGTTTTGATTTTACCAAGTGATGAACAATGTGAGAACCATTTGAACCACCTCTACCATTGCAAAACCACTTTTGGCAAATATTACATTTAACAACACAAGCAGGATCATGAATTGTACAATACTTGCAAGCATGTTCCGGAAGCTTCTTTTCTAAAACTTCTTCATCCTCTTCATCAAAATTAAGAGGAGTAGCATACTTGTCAATAAATGAGGTCAAATCATGAGTTTCTTTCTTTTTCTTCTTTTTAGTAAGAGAGGAAGAGCTAGTACTTGATTTAATACCCGAACTTGATTGTAATGAATGTTGAGAGAAGGTACTTGGTTGAGTACTTTGTTGAGTATTTAGGAAATCTTGGGAATAAAGTTGAGATTGTGTTGTTGGTTGGAATTGACTACTTTGTTGAGTATTTAATTCCTCTACATATTCAAAATTATTATTTCCGTTACTACTAGAATCTTCTGATGAATCGCTTTGGTCATCATTCAAACCTTCATCATATTCATCATCATCTTCCCCAATAAAATTGGAAGTAACAAATTGGTTTGATTGTGAAGGTTCATTCTCTGGATAGTCATCATCTCCATCCTCTTGGAATTGGTAGGTGATTACGTTTTGTGAAGAGCCCTCTCCATCACCGTAAAAACCATTCATTTTTTTTAAAGCTATTTTAAATTTTTATTTTAATTTTATTGTATTAGCAATTATTTGCATGATACATTTGCCTTTATTGATGAAGATATCACACTTTGATAACAATATTTGTCACCTAAGATCATTTACAAAAGTTAATTCATTAATTTAAACTTAATTTATGTGATTAATTTATTCATCTTTTCTTGGTGAGGTTTCTTCAACTTCCAAATCTCCTTCTTCATCTGAAACGGCTCCTCCTTCAGAGTTTTGGTCATCTTCAAATCCACCCTCATTTCTCAATACATTTTCTCTAACAATTTCCATTAGATCCTCTTTAGATAAGAGACCTCTTTCGTGGTGATGATCTTTCAAAAGGTAGGTTGAACACATACCCTTTCCTTTCACATCCAAGTTTCGTTCTTCAAATTCTAGACCCAAATCGTGTACTCTTTCATAGGAAGGTCTTGATAATTGGATACGACCTGGTTTTGAATTTGATTCCATTCTCGAGGCTGTATTAATAGTATCACCCCAGAAATCATAGGCAAACTTTTTAGTACCAATTACACCTGCAATAACAGGTCCTGTATTGACACCAATTCTGATATTAATTTGAGGAGTGCTTTCAATATCATTGACATTCATACAGTTTGCAAAGAGTCCCTTATTGTAATTACGAATAACAGTGAGAGTGTCAATACTGAACCGAAGCATTCTTTCAGGGTGATCTGATTGAGAATTTCCGTGAATACCACCAACACAAAAGTATGCATCACCAATTGTTTTGACCTTCTCCAAGTGATACTTGTCAGTTAATGCATCAAATTCATTCACAATTGCATTCAGCATCAAAACTAATTCATTGGCTTGCATGTTACTTGAAATTCTTGTAAATCCAACCATATCAGAGAAAAATACTGAAACATCATTAAACTTTTCAGCAATAAATGTTTCACCTGTTTTTAACCTCGCAGCAACAGCATCTAAAAATGTTAAATTATAAATAAAATAATTAATATAAACATACCAGGCATAATATTTCTTAATAAGGCTTCAGATTTCTTCTTTTCTTCAGCAAGAAGGGCATTTTGCTTCTTTTCAGGGGTAATATCCTTAATGAAACAGGAAATAACTGGCTTTCCATTGAATGATGTAACAAAAATATTGAGCTTGGATGAGAAGGACGACCCATTCTTTCTCATACACTCAACTTCAATAGTTTCTCCTTTTTGAGCAGCAGAGTTTGTACTAAGGAGGAAATCGACTGATTTGGCAACTTTCTTTCCCTCGCTTGCATCAAACAAAGAATATAGAGATGCACCAGCAACTTCATTTGCTTGAACACCAAACATTCTCTGAGCAGATGGATTGATATACTCGAGACTAAAGTCATCGTTTGATTGCTTACAGAGACAAACACCATCAACAGCCGAGTCGAGAATACCAGTCAACTTTGAAGTTGAATCATCCGTAACCTTCTTCTTTGAGAATCTATTGACAGCGTTTGGTAATTGGTGATTAAGGACAAATGATTTGAGTTCATGTGAGGATTCAATTTGATCTTCTGGAATGTAGTTCAACATCATTCTTAATTGCTTTTGATTACTTTCATAATTAAGAACTGTATTGTGAATCAAGTAGGCAAGTATAATTGTAGATACAGCAGCAAATACTGTATAAATTAATATTAAGGTCAAATCATAAACAGTATTTGCAATGATAAGTTCACAAATTTGAACAAGATACAATGTAATACTCTGAGTTTTTCTTGTAAGAGTGACCAAATTGGAAAATGATACTGGCTCTGTATAGATCTTTAGGTAATCGTTAAACCTTTTCATATTAACCATGTGAGCTGATACATCAGCAGACAAACCAACATAATCCACACATGAAGTAACATTTGTTAAAACAGATTCTGAACAATTAGTTCCCTTCAATATAGCATCTACTTCAGGGTAGACTCCAACTAATGGATCAACACCTTGTGATGTATCACCATAGAATAAACTGTTCCAGCTACTGTAAAATGAGGGATATAAGTTATCCACCAATTTTGAAATTCCTACAACTTCATCTTGGCTTAGTAAATGTGAGGGTGTTATGGACATATTGTACTTGGAGAAGGTGGTGTAGAGGAATGTTTCTCTAATAGAAAATTCCATAAGTTGCAATGTGCTCATTAAGCTAATTCCATCTCTGATGCTATACATATTTTGAAGAATGGTGTTTGCTTGATTCTTCAAATCTAGGAAAGCAACCACTAAAGCTATACAGCAAATAACTGTCAATATTATGGAAGAGGCAGAAACAATGTACTTTGGATTGGAAAATTTGGAGGGCAAACTTCCCAAGCCGTCATCATCAACTTTCTTTGACAAGTCATGGAATACCTTACCAGAAATATCTTTTGGAATGACTTTTGAATACATTCTGATAGCCCTCTCCAATAATCCCAACCTAATAAAGGAAAATATGAAAAATAGAACACACAATGAAAAATATGTTGCTATGGCTACAGCAAAGTATTTCAAGAACAGATCTTGACTTCCAACTGATGCAGTACCCACACTAGTAATGAGAGTACTACAGAAAGTCTGGTAAGCAGTGGATGCAGTCAATCCATTGAGCCATAAAAACATGAATGAGAATGTACTAGTTTCAGTAAGTAAATAATTCTTTTTTTCCCATTGTCTATCAAAATTTTCAAGTTCTGCATTCGTGATATCAATAATAGATGAATTTACAACAGTAGGAACAATAAAGAGAGTAGTATTTTCCTGTAGCTTTGGATAGATCAAATGGTGGGCAGGTTTGGAAAACTCTGTGTAAATTTGCTTTGTTAGGTCTTCTTGGAGTACTGTTGATCTCATGTTGGCGAGAATTTGTCTTGATTCTAGCCAAAAGTTTGTAGTTTTTGTTATGTCAACAGCTGCACCAGGATCATCTCTTGCAAAATACATTTGTCTCATTCTCAACTTGTTCAATCCATTCAAAACTGCTACGGCTGGTAAGCAAACAGTATCAACCAGAGGAACATAAGCAATAGTATTTCCAACAAGTTGTGTTTCCAAGACGATACTTGAAACCAACAAACCTAATCCAATTACAATTAATATGACATAGAATACTTTCAATATAAGGTTAGAGGTTGGATTGGAAAGGGCGATGTTAATCATTGAATTCTTCTTTTTCACATCATCGATGGCAGTTCCTAACATATTTTCAATATCTTCAAGAGTTTCCTCAGCTCCCAAGTCTCTCTGGAACTGATCATGGCTCATTGAGATTGAACTTCTAGAACCAGTTACAGACATATTATTAGGTAAAGGAACAATTTTGTTTTTGGAAGCTCTGATACCAGCATTGTCTAGTTTACGAGCAATTTTAGCTTTGCGTCTACCTTCATCCTCCTCAATAATTGATGCCTCTGCAAAGAGCTCTTCTGCCTGATCCTTGTTGAAACAAAGTTCTTCCAAGAATTTGCCATACATTCTCAAGAGATTCTTGTCATTCTTTCCTGAACTAGTACTGAGAAGGTTGACAAATATTTCATTACTTTTTTCGGTAAGTTCAGCAATACATCTATTGATGGTTTCAATCTTGATGAGATCTGTATTTTGAGCAATCAATTCTTTCCAAAATTGTTTGTGTAAAGCATATAGCCTCTTTTGTTGTTTTTCAAGTTTTTCAATGATATTCTTGTGTTCTGCTTTTACTATTGACTCAGAGTCTTTGGTATTGGCAGAGTCAAGGTCCTTTAATCTCTGTCTTAATTTCAATCTAGTAATAATATTTGGTCTTTGTTTCAATCCTCTTGTCAATAGTATGTTTGCGTAAGTGGTATTATTTGGTTGACCTTGGCAATAGTATGAATAGATCATTGAACATAACATTAATAATGGTGGATTGACAAACATCTTATTTGCTGAAATTCCTTTTGTAAATGAAATTGCTAAAGTAATATCATCATATTCATCTGCCTTTCTCTTTGATTTGAAGGCAAATCTAAGGAACATGGTCAATTTTCTTAGATCATTATTGGACTCAAAGTATTGCATCAATGAAACAGCTTCCTTCTCCATGGCATCCATTTCATCATGATGAGCATGTTCGTCGTTGTTCATTCTGGCATAGAAATTACTTCTGACAGTATGGCAAATTACTCTTGTATAAATTTCCATTATAACAAAGCCAATAACAAAGCAAATCAAAATAAGTGCTAGACAAACACCACTCATTCCTAGTCCCAAATCCCAAGCTGATGTTGTATTGACAGAGGAACTGATAATTGCACCCAAGCTGGATCCAACTCTAGCAAATGCAATACCTGCAAAGATTGAGTTGTTTACTCTGCTAAAGAATGGTGTCTCAATAAATAAGATGGGAACATAAAGTGCGGAAAACACCAAATGGAAAGCAGCTCTAACATACATTAAACTAGATGGAATAAAGTAAGGGATTACCAATTGAATAGTGTTTGAAACAATGAGTGGTACCTTATAGAAAGTGCTATCGGCAGTGAATAAAATTGAACTCAATGGATTGCATTCATTGGATGTCAAGACACTGAATGAAGTGATACCACAGATTACCAACATATTCAACAAGCCGAATACCAAAAAAATAATGTTCATCGTTCCGTAACACTTCTCTGTACTGTATCTTGTGAGTGTTCTGAATACTTGTGCATGGTCAACCATCAAGTTGTCACTACAGTCTGCAAAACTAGATATTACAAATGAGGCGAACATACTAGTGTAGAGCACTACTTTAGCCCACACAATGATAACTGGCCTAATCTTTTCTGTTGATGGGCTGGCATTTTCAATTGCCTTCCTTGCAAACATGAAATAATAACCAAAAAAAAGTACATTTAGAACCAAACTAGCAAACATAATCACTACTGCAGCAATATATGGCAATCTGAAAACTGCTAATGTGATAGGATAGTTCAAAATTTCAAATATCCATGCACCGTATTCTCCCCAATTATAGTTTCCTATTGTTGGAATAAGTATGGAACAATAAATGAGGTAAACATTGAGAACAGCATCCAATAGAAATGATTTCCACCCTTTCGTTTGTCTTCTGTCTTGAAGGGAAATTAAAGCATCAGTTAGTGTTGTAAAGACTGAATTGAAAGCTGACTTCTTCTCTTGCTCAATTGCTGTTAATGATGTTGAGGCAGAGGACTCAATTAGTGACCTAGCACCCTTTCCAACCTCACTTCTGGGACCTTTCTTCATCGCTAGAACAGACTGATTCATGCTTTTTTTTATGTAGTTGTTTTTATGAGATATAAGATATCATTTGATGGGAGTTAAAATAATTGACTACAAACATTAGAGCACTAATGAAAAGATTCATTAAAGTTGTCAAGAAGAAATGTCTTAATCTCTTGCAATGTTCTGTCCGAAAAGTTAAAGTTGTAAAATTTAGAAAGAGCAGAATGAATTTTGGCGCGTCTTTGGCTGTCAGCAACTTCTTTCGTTGATGGCTCCAATATTTGTAATTGCGTTGTATTCATCAATTGTTTGATCTCTTCAGCTTTGCTTTCGGCCACTCTTATCACATCAATCGGGAAATCAGCAAGTTTAGCAACTTCAATACCAAAGCTATTACTGTTTTCTGTAATGGCTTCTTCGTTATCTGTTACTATTTGATATAACATGACAAGCCTATTGTCAATAATCCTATCAAACATTAATGGCCAATATTCAAAATAGTACTTACTTTGAATCCATTCTTTCATTACAAATTGCTGGGAACTTCTCAATTAAAGCTCTCAATTCGTGGAAGTGAGTTGCAAACAAAGTGAAAGCATTTGTGCTGTCCATTAGGTGTTCAATGATTGCATAAGCAAGACCAAAACCGTCATAAGTCTATTTCAATAATATATTAAAAAGGTAAATAAAGAAAGAGATTTTCTATCAATACCTACCGATGTTCCTCTTCCCAACTCATCTACAATAATAAGAGATTTAGAAGTAGCTGTTGACAGGAGTGCAGCAGTTTCTAACATTTCAGCCATGAATGTACTAATGCCTCTTTGAGTAGAATCTGATGCACCAACTCTGGAAAGAATTGCATCTCTTACAGTGACGATACTACCCTCTCTTGCAGGGATAAAACAACCAATTTGAGCCATAATCACATTGATTGCCACTTGTCTGATAAATGTAGATTTACCTCCCATGTTTGGACCAGTTATTAAATGTAATTGATGTTGTGAGCGATCTAAGATGCATGTATTCTCCTTAAAGTCTACAGAATCCTGAATCTCTACAACAGGATGTCTACAATCGTAAAGAATAATTTCTTCTTCTTCATAATCTATTGGTCTTATGATAGGTCTAGTGTATGGAATGGCAGCATTTACAGAAACAGATGCAAAAGAGATGAAAATATCAATACTTGCCAAGGTTTCTCTGAGTTGTGTAAATGCAGGTGCAAAAGTTGTTACAACTTCTCTTATTTTTTGGAGAGTCTCTTGAGATTTGCTTTCATATTGCTCAAGAATGTCAATATATGATTTGGCTAGTTCCTTCAATGTATCATTAGTAAACTTGACATCTGATTTAGACTGTGGACCTATTAAAGTATAATTTGTTGCACCGGTCAAAGCATTTGCCTGTGCCTTTTTAACTTTGAAACAAACACTCTTTTTTGTCATTTCTAAAAACAACTCATTAACATTCAAATCATTTTCAACTGATTTACATTCTTCATCACATTGTGAAATAATTTCATTGAGATCATTCATCAATTTTTCTAGTTCTGCATCAATTTTACAATTAATTCTGTATTCATGTTTCTCGGTTGCCTCCATATCTATAATACTGATGACCATTTGCAAAAAACTTTGTAGATCAGCATAATTAGAATCTAAATGCACCATCAAGTCCATATACAAGTTGTCTTTTACAAATGATTTTTCATTCCTGACTCTGTTCATAACTTCTTTCACGGCAGGAACTTGCTGTACACAAATATATAATTTTACAATATCTTCTATAGTAACTCTCTGCTTTACAACCCTGATTAAAATCTTATCAAGATCAGGAACCTTTTTAAGAAGCTCCTTGATTTCTTCTCTTAATTCGTTTTCTTCAGCGAATATTTGAACCATGTCTAATCTTTTCTCGATTTCTGAATGACTTGTTAGAGGTTGTCTAATCCATTCTCTCAATAATCTCGCTCCAGGTCTAGTTACACATTGGTTTAATAAACCAAACAGAGAAGTATTCTTGGATCTATCGTTTGGTGGTGGTAAGATGTTCAATGAAGAGACACAAGTACTATCTAACTTCATGAATAAGGATATTTGTTGGGATTTTGTTTTGTAGTGTGAATAATTATTAATATCATCCAATAATTCTAAATAATCTAAAAGGGCCTGAGTAGAATTTGCAACATGTTCTTCATTAAATTCTAAATTCATAACTCTTTCTTCACCAGTTAATCTACAAATGTCAGCCTCCAAAGTACTTTTCTTTACAAAATCTGATTTTTTACGTTCAGTTTCTAGAATGTTACTTCTTCTGAGAACGTCCTTAAGTCTTTCAGAGTCAGGATCATTCTTTTGATAAAATACGAGAGCTTCCTTTGTTTCAATTTGAGAAAGAGTAGAATCCAAGTTTGCCAACTGATCACTATCGGTGAATGAACAGAATCCAATAGTTCTAAGTGTAGTATCAGCGAATGCCAGGCCTATCTTTCTCTCATTTAATTCCTTCTTGATATAGATGGCACACACCACACCTGTTTGAGAATCATTTTCCAGAAGCTCCTCGAATTCTTGTAAATTACCTGGAGAAGCAGATTTTAAACATTCATATTTATCTTCACTCCAAATTTCCACTCTCTTTCCGTGATTCAATAATAAACCTCTGACATATTGATGGAAGTGTGACTGCTTCAATGTAATGAAAGGAAGCCCATTATATTTTTTACCATCTTCTGTTTTATAAGGATTAGTACGATCAATAACACCTTTGTGTGTAAAAAGTTTAAAGTATCCTGTTTTACAAAAGTGTCTATCAATAAACCATGCATCATGACCATGAACGTCATAAGTAAATTGCGATTCAGGATCATCTGCTTTGGCATCCCTTTTTTTTCTTTGAATAAAGACAATAGTATTTTTCTTTGCTTCATTGGTCTCTATCTTCAAATACATGTCAACAAATTTTTGGTTTTCTGTTGTGACTACTTTTGTTTCATCCTCTAATTGTGGTGTTGTTGATTCATCGTCACTATCTTCCTTTTTCTTTTTACTTTTACTACTAGAAGCCGATGATGCTTTCCGCTTGGTTCCTGTTGTGGTTGTTGATTTTTTGCGTGGAGGCATTTTTTAAATTTTTAACTTCTAGAATTTGGAAGAATGAAAATTTTGGCGCCGTTTGTGAAATATTATTAGTTTGTTGAAACAAGCTGAAAGAGAAACTTTATTTATCCCATAGCAGTGGCTGGATCAATTTCACCTTCAACTGGCTCTTCATTATTCATAATAATTGGTTCTGGAGATTCAGTTGAGTGATCTGGTTCTTCTTGAGTACCATCAATTGGATGTTCTTCATTAGTTGGCTCTTCGACTGCAGATGGAACTTCATCAATAGCAGCTGGGACTTCTTGTTTCTTCTTCTTTAATTCATTTTTCAATTCCTTAACTTGAGAAACGAAATCCTTTCCTTGGCTGACTGTTCCTTTCCATGATTGGATAACTTCTTTCAATTCATCAGATTTCAAAATTTCTTTCAAATTCTTTCCTCTAAGTTTCTTCAATTCTTCAATTGAATTCTTAGCATTCTTATAAGTTTCTACTCCTGATGAAGCAGTATTGGTGATCATTTGACCCTTTCTTAAAGATTCCAATAACTTGGCAAGATTCTTATTCTTTCCATTGGTAATTTCATTCAATTGAGAGACAATGTTTTCACCCTTGGAGAAAGCACCTGCAACATTGTTCAAAACTCCTTGGAGATGTTCAGCATCCAAAACCTTTTTCAAATCTTCCTTCTTGAGATTCTTCAATTGTTCAAGACTTCCCTTAACACCCTTAGCTCCTTCTAAAATGCTTGATGTGACAGCAGTGACTTTTTGACCCTTTTGCAACTTTTCAACAAGTGAAACCAAAGTCTTACTTCTACCATTGGTGAAATCATTAATTTTAGTGACCAAATCTTGAGCACCAGCCAAAGCACCATTCAATTTACCCAAACCTGCTTGAGTATTGTCATAGGTCAAGAGTTTCTTCAAATCTGAGGATTTCATCTTGGATAATTGTTCAATAGATGACTTGACATTCTTGAATTGTTCAGCAGCAGTGCTACCAATACCAACAGCTTGTTGTCCCTTTTCCAATTTTTGAATCAACTTGTTCAAGGTCTTGCTCTTTCCACCATTGATGGCACTAACTTGTGAAGCAAATCCTACCCTACC